TTAATTGGAAAATTTAATTGTACTTTATCTATTGCTATCTCTAGATTATAATTTTTTAATAAGTTTGTAAGTGTGGCATAACATTCTAGCAATGTGTTTTTATCTTTGTGTGCTAATAATACATCATCCATATAGTGAAATATTTGTAGTTCAGGATTTTGATTTCTAAGTGGCTGGATTACTTTGTTAACATAAATTTGACACATAGTTGGGCTGTTAGCCATCCCTTGAGGGAGTACTTTCCATTCATATCTCTGATCAGGACCTTCATGATTCAGTGCAGGGATAGTAAATGCAAAACGTGGACTATCCTCAGGATGAATTGGAATTGAAAAAAAACAATCTTTAATATCTATAACTAAAACATACCAGGTTTTTGGCAAAGCAGACAACTGAGGAATCCCTGATTGAGCAGGTCCCATAATAACCATCTCATTATTAATGGCTCTTAAATCTTGCAATAATCTCCATTTACCAGATTTCTTTTTGATGACAAAAATGGGAGTATTATGGGGAGATACAGAAGGTTGTATATGTCCTTCCACTAATTGTTGTTTGACCAGGTCATGGGCTGCTTGTATCTTTTCTTTAGTCAGGAGCCACTGAGGAACCCATACTGGTCTTTCTGATTTCCAAGTAATTTTTATTGTCTCAGTGGCCCTTTCTGAAAATCCAACCCATGTCTGTCTGTTCCTTGATCTATTTGTATTGGTGCTGCTATACCTTGTTCTTGTTTTTCTAATCTTTTTCCTTTCCTAAATCCTTGTCTAGTCATAATAGTGGGTGCATTTTGGTTGATGTTATTTGTTAATGTCAAACCTAATTGATCTAGGACATCTCGTCCCCATAAATTTACGGGAAGATGATCCAATACATATGGCTGTATAGTTCCTTCACATCCTTCAGGATCCTTCCAATCTAATACCATTGCACTTCTATGGGGATTAGTCGCCACTCCTAGGCCTCGAAGCGTTTGAGTGGCTTGTTGTAATGGCCAATGTTTTGGCCATTCTTGACGAGAGATGATGCTAAGGTCTGCACCTGTATCCAGTAGTCCATTAAATTCATGTCCTTGAATATTTAGTTTTAGCATGGGGCGAGAATCTAAATTTAAAGAAAGCATAGCCCAATCTACACCTGTGGAGCCTAATCCCTTGGAACCTCTTTCTACAGTACGACTGGAAAATTTATCATGTAGGCTGGGTATTATTAGTAACTGTGCTATTCTATCTCCTGGTGAAATTACTGATATACCCTTTGGAGAACTGGCTATAATTTTTATTTCACCTTCATAATCGGGATCAATTACCCCAGGACTTATCATAAGTCCTTTTAGAGTAGAAGAGCTGCGTCCCAATAATAAGCCTACTGTTCCTTTGGGAAGAGGTCCTTTCACCCCTGTGGGAATGATTTGAACTCCCATCTCTGGAGTTAGTACTGCTCTGGCGGAGGCGCAGATGTCCAACCCTGCACTCCCTCTGGTTTGTCTGATGAGGGATCTGATGGACAATGTGTCCTGGGCACTACCCTGATGGGGTTGCTGGGTTCCTCCAGTGCTCCGTATATTTGTGGTTTGGGGCCCCGGAGCATTGGGCCCCCCTGTCCGTTTTTTGGCAATGGAGCCCAATGCCTTTCTCCACGATATCATGGATAAACACCTGGTCCTTGTTCGTTTTTTGATAATGGAGTACCCTCTATGGTGGTTTGAGAATGGCATTCATTAGCCCAATGTCTCCCTCTACGGCATCGTGGGCAAATACCTGGTATTCTACTCCTTTGATACCTAGTTTTGTTAAACCCCCCTCCAATGGGGCAATTCCTTTTAAAATGTCCTGTTTGTTCACAATTGTAGCATGTTCTTGGCCTGGCATCTAAAGCCTGTTTTACTGCAGCTGCCACAATTTGCCCTTGTTCATTAATGTCTCTACATAATTTAATATATGTGTTTAAATCTTCATGTTTCCATGGTCTAATGATATCTCTGCACCAACGATTCGCTTGCTCATAAGCCAGGTGTTTTAGTAATGGCATTGCTTGTTCTGTATTCCCAAAAACTCTGGTAGCTGTTTGAATAAGCCTATCTACAAATTCAGCATAAGGTTCATTAGCTCCTTGTATTACCTTAGATAATTGACCTTGTAAACCTCCATGTCCTTGTAAAGTCTTCCATGCCTTAATTGCATCTGCAGCAATTTGTGCGTATACGCCAGGATCATATGCAATTTGTTGCTGCTGATCCTCATAAGGTCCCTTTCCTAACAACATATCTAGATTTCTCTGAGGATAACCAGCTGCTGCATTTCGCCTAGCCGTCTCCTTGCAAAATTCCTCATTGGCAACCTTCCATAACAGGTATTGTCCTCCATTTAGCACAGCTTTACACATATTAGCCCAATCTGCTGGCGTCATGTTCAAGTTGTTAATGGATTCGACCAAGCTTACAGTGAAGGGTGCTTGAGGACCATAGGTTGTTACAGCCTCTTTTAGCTGCTTCACTGTTTTGAAATTTAAAACTTGGTAAAATCGCTGCCCTCCTGCCTCAAATACAGGGCATGTTAATATTTGAGACCTTGTCTCAGGATCCCAACTATCAACTGCGGGGGTTGGGGGCCTCCCAGCATATGGAGGTGGCGCTGTTAGTTGGACACTTACGCCCTCTGGTGATAGAAAGGTGTTAGTAGCAGTCTCCTGTTGTAACTTTCCCCCTGATGGCTTTTTCTGTTTTACACTTTCTTTCTCTGTCTGACTAGCTTGAGAGGCCTTCTCTTTTACTTGAATCTTTTCCTCTGTCTGACTAACTTGAGAGACCTTCTCTTTTACTTGAATCATTATGTCTTCTCCTTCCTCTACCATTGTCTGAACTGAAGGCTTTGGACTAAGCAAACAAGATACGAATGTCCACAATGGCAATGTGCCAACTGGCAGAGTCCCTGGGCTTTTCTTTTCTATTCTTTTTAAATCTTCACCATGATGGTTCCATTGTGATATATTTAACAACTCCTCCTTAAAAAGCCATGGGCTACATTTTTGTATTGTATCAACGTATGCCCTGATTGTTCTTGATTTTACTGAGATGCCTCCTTCCTCTAACAATTTACTTAACACTCTTTCAGTTTGTTTTTTACTAATTTCTGATCCCGTATTTCTACTATAATACAACCCAACAAGATAACGCCTAACAAAACTGAAACTGAGTGAAACAAAATTGGAACAACACAAAATCATTATAATAGCCTCCTGAAATGTCCATCCGTCCTTTCTCCCTATCTGTTCCTCAGATGTGAGCGGTTTTTCTTCCGTCTTACACATCTCCAGGGACAGGCAACTTAAAACAAAAGTGAAACAAAATAACAAAAGAAGAATCTTAAAATGGCTTTTAAAATCTTAAAAGAGGCTTGGATGGCTTCAGTCTCAGGCCTCCTGGTTTCCCAAGTTAAATGATTTATGGCCACTTTCACTTGCATGTTGGTGATGCTTGGGACCTTTTTCCACATGACAGGGACAGGTGGTCACTGTTGAATGATGACAGCTGGAGCACAATGAGGCATGGGGGTGAGGAGACTCACGGATGATTCTGAGGATGGCCCTTTGAACACCCAGCCTCCCTTGTAGTCTCCTGGCCTGAAGGTCAAACCCAGTCAGTGGAAAAAGCTCCTCACACAAGGTCAGGTTCACCCTCTTCCTCAGCAGTAGGTGAATCTGGGGCCTAAGGAGCTCCAATGAGTTTCTCCAGCTCTGATGAGATAGGAAAACTGGGACGCTCTCCCTGGGATCAATGGAAGGTTATGAAAAGAGCACATGTCCCCATCCCTCATCCATGACAGCCCTTTCCCAGATCCTCTTTCTCATGAGCCATGGAAATATTTAATTTTCATAACTAGTTGATGCTGTAGTTGGACATGATAGAAAATGTGTCTCTACAGCTTTGGAGTCGTTCTGTAAACTCACTTTAATCCTTTAGCCTGAGCAGAAACAGCCCTCTCCACAGCATGTACTGCAGAATGTCACCTGATGGGAGGCTGTAGCTGCATCAATGATGTAGGGCACATGAGGCTAGACACCCAAGGATGTTCCAGGATTAGATTTATTAGCTGCAGGGTTCTGAGGTGTATCACCTAAAATTTTTTGGATCACTGTTTGGAATTTCATTGATCTTCATTTACACCCAGTGGGACAGGGATAGAAGTTTATATTTTCTGTAGGTGTATACGTGAAGAATTTTTCTTTTTTTAGTTCACAGAAAGTACTTTGTGTACCAATTGTAAGATTGGTCAGAGGACTTCCAAGCTTTACCACAAAAGCAGAAGTCTGTGTTATAACCCACACTGAGATATTTGCAAAATCTTTTCCTGACATTCTGTTGAAAGAAAATTATGGTGAAGGTCTCTCGAGAAGCTAATTTAAGATTCTTGGGTGGAGAAAGGAGTGCCACTATATTAGCACATCAGACTGGGACACTCCTTACCAAGCCTTTGGTCATGTAGAGTGTATTAAGTAGGTTTTCTTAACATTAAACCTTAAACCATCACACAATTTCCCCAGGGCTACTGAGCTACTCTAAACACACAGAGAAATCAAGCCTGGGTTTTCTAGAATATTCCACCTAAGTATTATTCATGGGGAGAAAAGCTTAGTTGGATGTAGTTTTCTAAAAAAAAATTCACTGGTATAAAAGACCTTCAAGAAGGAAGAGACCATCTGCAATTGTGGAGGAAACACCTGCAGAGCTGCATCTGCTGATGTGGTCATCAGTGGGGTCCACACACACAGCACCAGCAAACTCATCACCTGAGCTATGGGAGTGCTCGGTGCAAGAATGCTTGCCTAGCATCCACAAAGCAGGATTGGATCCTCAGAAATGCGGAAATAAAAGAGAAAACAATTCAAGCATATGGCAAAACATATTTTGAGAAAGTGCCTCTACAAGTAATACACACAAGTGACATTATGTTATAATGCTCTTTAATGTGCTTACATACAGCATGATACATGAGACTTAGAACAAGCACAAGTGACAAGAGTGGGGTCCCAGAATCATCAACAGCTCAATAAGCAATCAAGGAAAAGAAAGAGGACAGCTTCAGGTTACACAGACACATCCTTATGGTCCCAGCTGCCAGCCTCTCTCCATCTCAAAAAACAACAATTAAAAGGACTGTGGAGAAACTCAGTGGTGGAGCACTCCTGGGTGAAATGTGAACAAAGACAGAGAGGAAAGAAGTTCAGAAGAGACATTTCACCAATCTGTAGCAAAGGCTGGAGTGGAGAGGCCTAAACTAACATACAGAATATGTAATGAAACATTAGACACAAAAGATTTAAAATACAGGAAAATGGAATCTAAAAATAAGAGAGATTTAACCGAGAAAAACATGTTGTTTTAAAATCTTCATGCTGATACAATGCTCCTCTTCAACCCAGGGTGCATTTTTGTTTCCTCTGAATAGATAAAAAAAAGAAATGAAGGCACAAACTTTTTCACACACCTACAGTTTTTTTCTCAAAATAAATAAATAAAATGAAATAAAATAAAAATATCCTCAAGTCTGAACAAGTTCAAATGGATCTGAAACAAGCAAAGGTCCTACCACATTTCTACATACAGGGCTTTTCTCCAGTGTGATTTCTTAAATGCTGTTCGAAGGGACCTGGAAAGTTGAAAGTCTTACTACAATTTTGAAAGAGAGAAAAAGGATCTTCCCAGATGTGAATTTTTTATGTCTTTGAAGAAAACTCTGAAAGCTGAATACTATCTCACATGGCTTATCCTCAGCATTTTCTACAGTATGAGTCCTTTCATACAACTGAACAAAACTAGAACAGCTCAACTACTTATATTTCTTTTTTTGCATATGATTTATTCTTTTTATTCCAAAAGAGTCTTCTGAGTCCTTAGTAAAAGACTGAAAAAACTAGATTTCCCACATTTCTCACACTCACAGGGCTTCTCTCTGTGTTTTCATATATGAGAAGAAAAACAGGGCTGGATGGGAAGCTGACAGGATGTAGCTTTTCTCTGGTATGTATTCTGGTATGTATTCCAGGGCTTTCCTCTGGTATGTAGTCTTCCATGTTTATGAAGCTGATGTGATGTAGCAAAGGTGTTGCCACACTGCTTACATTCAGAGGGTTTGTTTTTCAATTGGAATGAAATGCCTTTGAAGGCAATAGGGAAAAATGGAATGATTTGTGATAATTTTATACATTTAAAGAGTTACTCAGTTGGAAGTGGTGGAGTATGCCTTTAATTCCTGAGACTTGAGCAGCTAATTCTGAAGGATCAATGTTGGAGGCTAGCCTCAGCACCTTTGGAAGACCCGAAGAAATGCAACAAGTCCCTGTCTCAAAATAAAAAGTAAGTGGAATGTAGCTAAGTGGTAGAGCACAACCAGAATAAATCCCCAGTGTCTGTCTGTCTGTCTGTCTCTCTCTCTCTCTCTCTCTCTCTCTCTCTCTCTCTCACACACACACACACACACACACATGCACGCACACATTTTCAGCAGTGTGAGTCCTTCCTTGTCTTTGAGGATGACATGAAATATTGATTTACCAGGTTTTACATTCAAAGGATTTTTTCTCCAGTAACTTCCCACATGTATATGAGTGAAACAGTAATAACAGAAATGTTTACCAATTGTTTACATGCATACGATTTCTCTGCAGTATCTGTTCTTTCACATGTGTGAAGCAGACAGGATGTGGCAAAAGCTTTTCCACATTGTTGTTATTCATAGCGCTTTTCTCTGGTATGTATTCTTCCATGTCTGTGAAGCTGAGGGGATGTAGCAAAGGCTTTGCCACACTGCTTACATTCATAGGGCTTCTCTCCAGTGTGCATTCTTCCATGAATCTGAAGGTAACTGGATCTAGAAAAGGCTTTGCCACACTGCTTACAATCATAAGGCTTCTGTCCAGTATGAGTTTTTACATGTGAGTGAAGGTGACTGGATCTCGCAAAGGCTTTGCCACACTGCTTACATGCATAGGGCTTCTCTCCAGTGTGCATTCTTCCATGAATCCGAAGGGAACTGGGTGTAGTAAAGGCTTTGCCACATTGCTTACATTCATAGGGCTTCGCTCCAGTATGAGTTTTTTCATGTGAGTGAAGGTTAGAGGACTGAGTGAAGGCTTTCCCACACTGCTTACATTCATATGGCTTCTCTCCAGTATGAGTTCGTTCATGTATCTGAAGGCCAGAGGCAGTAGTGAAGAATTTTCCACATTGTTGACATTCAGAGGATTTCTCTCTAGTATGTCTTCTTCCATGAATCTGAAGGTTACTAGATGTAGAAAAGGCTTTTCCACACTGCTCACATTTATAGGGCTTCTCCCCAGTATGAGTTTTTTCATGTGACTGAAGGTAACTGAATGTAGCAAAGGCTTTGCCACACTGCTTACATTCATAGGGCTTTTCTCCAGTATGCATTCTTCTATGAATCTGAAGAGAACTGGATGTAGAAAAGGCTTTTCCACACTGCTTACATTCATAGGGCTTCTCTCCAATATGTGTTCTTCCATGTCTGTGAAGCTTAGTGGATGTAGCAAATGCTTTGCCACACTGCTTACATGCATAGGGCTTCTCTCCAGTATGAGTTTTTTCATGTGAGTGAAGGTTAGAGGACTGAGTGAAGGCTTTCCCACACTGCTTACATTCATATGGCTTTTCTCCAGTATGAGTTCGTTCATGTATCTGAAGGCCAGAGGCAGTAGTAAAGGCTTTTCCACACTGTTGACATTCATAGGGCTTTTCTCTGGTATGTATTCTTCCATGTATATGAAGCTGATGAGATGTAGCAAAGGCTTTGCCACACTGCTTACATTCATAGGGCTTCTCTCCAGTATGAATTTTTTCATGTGAGTGAAGGTTAGAAGACTGAGTGAAGGCTTTTCCACACTGCTTACATTCATAGGGCTTCTCTCCAGTATGCATTCTCTGATGTATTCTAAGTAAACTGGGATAAGCAAAGTCTTTCCCACATACCTTACATTTGAAACATTCATTCCCCATGTGTGTGATCCTGTGCCTTTGAAGACTTGTGTATGAAATACAGGTCTGACCACCTCGTTTACATTCATACACTTTCTCTCCAGCATGAGTTCTTTCATGTCTTCTTAATAAAGAGGAGAAACAAAAGGCTTTCCCACATACCTCACATTGAAAACGTTTATGTTCACTGTGTGTTCTCATGTGTCTTGGAACACCTGTGGGAGAAGACGAGGCTTCACCACATTGCTGATATTCATAGGGTTGCCACCCAGTATGAGTATCTTCATGCCTTTGAATGTCACTGGAATGACTGATGACTTTCCCACGTACTGTACATCCATAAGGTCCATCTCCAGTTTGTATTAACATTTGTGTGTAAACACTTCTGAGAGAAACCAGAGATCTCTTATAATGTTTAACTTCACATGGCTTCTCTTCACATTCCTCATGCTTGTAGTATTTGTGTCCAGAGTGAGATGTGATCTGCCTATGAAGGAATTAAGGATATATGAAGTCTTTTGCACACATAATGAAGTCACATGGATTTACTCTATTAAAATTTTTCTTTGTTCAATTAAGAATTGGAATTGTTTGAAGGTTTCCCCAAACGCTTCTGTGCCTTGGAAGTTTACCATGACTTCTTTGAAGAAGTGACCAGCACATAATCAATGCTTGATTCATTCACAATTTTCTATTTATTGATAGACCTTTACATTACTACCAACATCAGGTAAAGGCTAAGTTTTCTGACTTGTTCAACTTGCCTAAAAATAAGGAGATTGAAAGCAAACAATCCTTTTCAACACAGCTTCTCTATGGCTATTATCCAAATAGTGATATTCACATATGCAATTTCATAGTACTTTTTGCATGTCAAATACTTTGAAAAGACTGAATATCTGTTACAGCTAATTATATATTTCCGGTAAAAAGCACTATAAGAATAAATACTTCTCATATTATGCATACTTCTTTCGTTGGTTTGCTTTAAATATTACATGACAGTTCTCAGACCCTGTCATAGACTCCTCTTGTGAGTACAGTTACCTTACATTGTTCCCAGAGTTTTCAATCTGAACTTCAGTGGTCTTGTCTTCCCACTTGTTTCCTAAAATGAGAGAACAGAACAATCTTTATGAATATTTAGGAGCTAACAATGCTTTGCCAAATGATACATGCTATTAATGCTGCAATAATTCACCAACTGATTCCCTTTTCACCTTCTACATAAATGACCAAAATAAACATGAGTTCTCTATTTTATTAATTTTAAAAACATCATTATTACCTATAGAAGACAGGTTTCTGAAGACTTCCTGCATCACATCTCTGTAAATATTCTTCTGGGAAGGATCCAGCAAAGCCCACTCCTCCTGGGTGAAGTTCACAGCCACATCCTCAAAGGTCACTGAGATCTAAAATATCCCACCAAATGTATAGTGGAGGCCAGGAGAGATTGACAGCATGAGAAATCTATACTCAATATGCATGATGTTCACATGATTCCCTGGCCTCTCAATTAATTCCACGATTTGGTCCATCAAATCTTTACTGCACTCAACTTCTTCCAGCCATTGCAACACTAGAAATTGCCTACTCAGAAGGAAAACATCATAGTGATTTATACCCTTTCTTTGGTGATTTCACAGGAAGTAAGACAGGCTCCCAATTACTCCTAAGTTCCTTATTGGTTGCACCTCTATTACATGTCTTAGAAACGTCCTGAGTGGTACAGAGCTAATATAAGCAATTCTGATAGTGCTTATCTTTAGAAAAGAAAGGTGATGAGTACGAAATTGGAGGAATCATGAAACTAAGCATTTGAGAGAGATTTTGACAACTACAGTGGCTCCCTGTACCTAGACGGTTAATATAGACAACATGGTATTTACTAATGTATTGTTTCCTCTGAAAGTCTATTGTTCCAAACTTGAAGAGATGCCTAGAATCAGCCCCCAACCACACCTCTGGGCATGGGGTCACTAAGGAGATTCCTTCACAGACAACATTTAGAAAACCTTTCACACAGGTTGTCACAATGCATTAGCTGGAAATTGAGCTCATCCTGTGTGATTACACTGAGAACACCTAGAAGTTCGCAGGTGCTTCAATCCAGAAAAAAATTTAGTCAACTAGCTTACTATTAAATGACCAAAACAAACATGAGTCCTCTATTTGATTAATTTAATTTATTTATTAATAAACACAACAATTTTATAATTTCCTGTGGTTACTGTCAAAGCAGAATGGGGGAAGTGAAAGATAGCACATGCCTTAGAAATAACTCAATGACCCAAAAATATTACCTTGTCCAAACAATAGCCATACAAAGTTTTATAACTCTCAAAACAATCTTCTTAATAACCAGCAGGCATGACTTTTCTAAGTCTCATGGGAACAATGAATGTCCAATGACTGTCAAACTCTTCTTAACAGCAGCCAGTTCACTACCATAATGTATAGTCATCAGACACATACCAATGTTCTGCTCAAGGACATTTTGATCAATGTTGGGCCACATATACAATGGTTGTCTGTTGTGAAAGAGATTCATCGTGCCTGTAGCAATGGTGTTGCAAACAAACCTAAGGCAGAAGCTCTTCCAGAGTGTGGTAAAGCAACAAGTTTGTAGCCCAGATTCCTGAACTATCCCACACAGTCTGGGTGTGAAACAGGCCACCATTCACATCTGTAAGCATGCTATGATGTCTTCACAGTGATGGAACAGGCAAAAAGAAAATGTCCCTGCCACTGACACATAACTACACTCAAAAACTGAAAACATACCCCAGGGGCTGAGGTTGGGGCTCAGCGGTAGAGCACTCAAATCGCACATGCAATACCCTGGGTTCAATCCTCAGCACCACATACAAATGAATAACTAAAATAAAGGTATTGTGTCCAACTACAAATTAAAAATAAGTATTTTTTTTAAAAGTCATTCTGACTGCTGGGGTGGTGGTGTGCACCTGTAATTTAGCCACTAGGGAGGTCAAGAGAGGTCAAGGCAGGCAAATGGCAAGTTGGAGGCCAGTCTCAGCAACTTAGCAAGATACTCAGAAATTTAGAGAGACTGGTCTTCATCAAAAATTAAAAGGGGGTCTGGGATTGTAGTTCAGGGGCAGAGCACTTGCTAGCATCTTTCAGGTACTGGATATGATTTCAGCAACACAGAAAAATAAACAAATGAAATAAATGTATTCTGTCCATCTACAACTATACAAAATATTTAAAAAATAAAAATAAATTATAAATACATAAGAAGAAGGGCTGAGAATGTGCTCAGTGGTCAAGTGCCTGTAGGTTTACTCCCCAGTAAAACACCTGCCCACCTCCAGAACGCTGCTCACAAACTGAAATTCATTTCTGGAGGATAACTAAGCATGAACAAGTCCATGGCATCAATCCCCACCACTCAAAAGTAAGCAAATAAATAAACCACAGTCTACAATACTAATTCTCTTGGACTGGAGAGTAGCTCGGTAGTAGAAAACTTGCCAAGTATGTATTTGGCCTTCCCTCGGATCAATCTCCAGCAGTCCTACACACACACACACACACACACACTCACACACACACACACACACAAAAATACATATAATGAGAGATAAAAATTATTATAATATAAAAGGTACACAATTAGAGGCATAAAATACAACAAAATCAATGGAAAGACAACACACTTTCTCACAAAGGAGATTGAATGTTCCCATGATCGACACTCTCTGAGAAAGCACTGAGAATTTCAGGAAATTCTGTGAAATTTAGGGCATGGTTTACTGTATTTTGGGGGTAAACTTAAGAAAAACTACATCTAAAACAGGAAATACTAGGGTTGGGATTCCGGCTCAGCAGTAGAGTGCTTGCCTAGCACATGAGAGGGCCTGGGTTTGATCCTCAGCACCACATAAAAATAAATAAATAGGTATTTTGTCCAACTACAGCAACAACAAAAAATACTTTTCAAAAAATTGGAAATAGTACACTATATTGAAGATGAGCCAAAATATTGTACAGGATAGAGTATAGAGAGCATTTATGTTGCACACAAATTTCATAAGCTAAAAGGCCAGCTCCCAAAGGGGTGGCCCTAGGAGGAGGCACTTAGGAGGGAACAGGAATCAGGTGACATAGTGGGAGTGCTCTTGAAGGAATCAGCACCCGTATTTAGACAGACATATGGCTCTTTTCCAGAAAACAAGTGTCATTTACTATTTCACTGATATTCAGGGATTAAATGATCATAATTGGGTATTTCAGGTATTGCTAAAATTGTCCTTAAAATTTACAATGAAGACAGGAGTGATGGTGCACACTTGTAACCCAGCGGTTCAGGTGTCTGAGTGCTGAGGCAATGTAGTAGGACTCTGTCTCAAAACAAAGAATCTAAAAGGGGCTGGTGGTTCAGCACCTCTGGGCTCTATTCCTGATACCAAAAAAAAAAAACACAGTTAACATGAACCTGCCAAGTCCAGACAACAAAAGTGAAAAACTGTCATCCTTTGTCAAATTCATCACCTTGTGAAAGACACATACTAGTTTTCATGAAATCACATTCATAAATTTATCCACCACTATTTTTATAGAATTGGACTCAAATTCTGCAGCAATAATGCCAGACAGAGTTTCTCCGTATCTTACATGGCATTTTGGAATCTAGGGTGGGATTTCAATTTGAAATCACTGAAAAGACAAGATTGAATCTTACAGACTTTCTGTACATACTCAGGGGTAGCAAAAGGTAAATTAGTTAATTAGGATTTTCTTTTTCTTTTTTTTCATTCTTTTTTTTGGGGGGTGGTACCCCAAGATTAAACCCCGAGACATTTTACTATTGAGCCACATCCCCAGTCATCCAGTCTTTTGTATATTTTATTTTGAGATGCAGTCTCACCAGGTTGCATAAGGCCTGGATAAGTTGCCAAGGCTGTCCTCAAATTTGCAACACTCCTGTCTCAACCTCTGGAGCAAGAGGGATCACAGGTGAGCACCACTGTACCTGGCTGTAAGTTGGGATTTGTAACAATGGAAATGTAACTAGACTTTTTAAAATCCACTTCTCTCTTGCCTATTTAATAATAGTCCATCCCATTTGGCTCTGAATAAATAAACTTGGGCCTCAGATAAGTGAGCACATCATTTCAAAGTGATGCACAGAAAGCTTTGTGGCTGAGGGAGCACACATGTGTCAGGCTCAAGGGGCAGGGAAGGTCCCTGACAGCAGGAACATACTCCCTCCTGGTCTTGCTCCCTGAAAGCATCCAGGATCACTGTCCCAGGGACCGAAGTAGCAGTCTAGATGAGGCCTGTTCCAGGAGATTCCTCAGATCAGAGCCCCCAGCAGCTTCCCTGAGAGGCTGCACCCTACATCTCAGGCTGTCCCCTAGGAGGAGCTGGCCCAGGGCCTGAAGTTCTGTTCACCCTGCAGGGACCAGGGCAGCTGTGGGCACTTTGTGGCAGCTCCAGGAGAGGATAGTGAATGAGGACGTGGGACCCTGTGAAGTGTCCAAAGGGAAACTCTGCCCAAGAAATCTGACATGGTGTCTACACATAAGGAAGGTAAAAGGAGAAGCACAAGATTTTCACAGCTGTGAACTCAAGTTCTCTATATAGTCGCATCTACATCAAAGAACCTTCAGAGTACTTGATTTTAGCTAACGAGACCACCATGAGGGTAGAAAGGCAGGGTTCTGTATGGAGAACAAAAATTATCTTGGGCTATCTTAAGCCCTTCAGTAGCCAATCATCTTAATTTCTGTATCAGACCACAATCTCAAAATTTCTCAGAGTATATCACTAACCTTACCAGACGTCTCCAAAATCTACCAAAGCACAGAATGCAATAACAGACATACAGAAGAAATTTTCTTTATTTTTTCTGTACCCCAATAATCTGATGTTCCTACCAATGCAATCGGTTAATGGAGTAATACACAGTTTCTTTTATAAAAAAGTTCATGTAGGCCGGACACAGTGGCACACAACTGTAATCCCAGCAGCTTGAGAGGCTAAAGTAGGATGATTGCTAAATTCAGAGGCAGCCTCAGCAACTTAGTGAGACCATAAGGAACTTAGTGAGATCATATGTGAAAATACAATATAAAAAGGGCTGGGGATGTAGCTCAGGGTGTAAGTGTCCCTGCGTTCAATCCCTGATATATTAGAAAAAAAAAGAAAAGAAAGAAAGAAAGAAAGAAAGAAAGAAAGAAAGAATTGATGTAATTATGTAATCTCTTCCAGGGAGGGACACACACATCATTCAGGGTAATTTGAATCCATGTACCTTAGTATAGTCATTAATATTTGGGTTAAAATGAACTATTTTCTGTAGCTGGGGTTGTCAGTGCCTTTAATCTCATCCGCTTTGGAAGCCGAGGCAGGAGGATCACAACTTTCAGGCCAGGCTGGGAAAAATACCCAGATCCTTTGTGAAAAACATATTGAAAAGAGCTGGGTATGAAGGACAGTAAATGAATCAGACATTATTGTAGTGGCATACCTTTTTTTCACAGAAAATTTTAATTGGGTTTCTCCAGAAATCTTCACCATGGCTAATTTTAAGACTGTCAACAAAACAGTGTCCACAAAAAAAGTTCAGTGTAGACAAACTTCCTATTTTTGTGTTGACCTATTTTACTGGGCCACTACTCTGAATGAAAGAAATTAGCACTTCAAGTACTGGACTCGAACTCCCCCTTACTACTTTTTTACACACTTGTATCCTGTATAGTAGTTTGTAGAAATGTGCAAACAAGGTGTCTGGCCTTGAGCTGGGCTTCACAGAGAACTTACCAACTAGGCTTCATGGAAACAGCTGGTGGGGGAGGAAAGAAAGGGGAGAAGAAGCTCTCCCCTTCTCAGGTGCTGTCCTTGAAGGCTTAACTTGGTCAGAACAGAGAAAGAAAAAGCTGTTTTTATGTGTGATGTGACAACTTAACTATGGCAACACCATTTTGTAAACTTAGCCAGGACACACAAAAAGTCATGACTGGGGCAGTTTGTATTCATGAAAATCCCCCAAGAACACAGAATGATCTATGGTGCCAACTGGAGAATAACTGACTGCAACTTTCAGCCTTGTTTGCATTGCCTGAACCCCAAATGTCCCTTTTGTCGTTTTTGTGCTTAAATATGGAGCCAACTGAAGGCAGGGGCACCACTCTGATCATCTCATTCTTTTGAGAGCAGAGTGTCTGCCAAGAGCCAGCAATAAAGGCTTAATTTGAATGAGACTGTGTGATCTGAGAGTTATTTGAGAGTCTCCGTATTACAATGTGAACTTCTGAGCCCCTCCCCTTACATGATGAGTATAAAATCCTAAAACCACCTGAACTCAGGGTTCAGGGGATTGATTGATTGATTACAGCAAAAGCTGTGCCCTCTGAGACTGGCTGCAGCCAGATAAAACTGTTTCTGGCTATCTTCAGTGCCTTGCCTCCTTTGTCCCTACATCAGTATTACCCTGTGTGCTTACGTGACTACACGACTGGGGTGACTCTACATCATGGACTATCAGAAAAGGGAGCAGTTATACTCTATTGATGAAGCCCAGGACTCCATATCCCTGGGATCTATCAACAACCTCCTTATTCCCTTTAAAGCAGTTATTTTGACCAAACACAAGGAAGTGTTAAGTGATTATTCTTTCCCCTCAAGTATAATATTCACAAATAAAAACAAATGCTTTCAAAAGTGTCCTTTTTGCCAGGGACAGTGGCACAGGCCTGTCATTCCAGATACGTGGGAGGCTGAAGCAGGAGGATCACAAGTTAAGGCTGGGGAGGGAGGGAGGAAGGAAGATTCTTTCCAATATTTCACTAGATGAGAAGTGACAACTAGCGGGCGGTGTCTATTTTGACCGAGTGGGAAGAACGAACGTCAGGCCGAGCTGTGAGCTGGAGGGAAGGTGGGGTTTAGAAGGCAGGAGGCGCCTGCAATTTGGGGGAACTATAGCAGCCTCCGGAGGAGCTCCCCTGGGAGAAGGAAGGTGCATTTGTGGCCCTGCTTCCTCCACGTTGGGAAGAGTGGGTGTGGGCCACCAGGGCCCTGAGCCTCCCTTCCAAACCCAGGGAACCAGGGGAAAGGGTCTAGGGCCCTCCGCAGCTCACCCGCGCGCCAGGCCCCAAGGCAGGTGCTGACTGTGCACCTTCAGCCCAGGTCGCAAACTCACCATTTTTGGCTTCCGTGGTGAAACGGGGTCCTCTGAGGAACCTCCAGTCAACCGAGATCGTGGGGTTCACAGGGAGCGAGAGTCACGTGTTTCCCTCAGGAGAGAACTCAGGTGCCAGAGAAGGAGCAGCCCAGTCGCTGAGGAAGAAAAGCCCGCGATTGCGGAAGCCCGCCCTTCCCCTCCCTCTGCGCGCTGATTGGACAGTTCCTCCCATCGTCCTTGATGGATGGCCTCCAGGCCCGCCTCTGCATCGTGACTGACAGCTAACATCATCCAATCGCTGGCTGAAATTGGGTTAGTGACAGATTCTTGGCCCCAGCCCTTCTCAGGTGGAGCTTCCCCCACTGTGCTGGGAACTAATCCAGGTGGGAAGCCTTGGCTTAGCCTCTGGTACAGAGGTGCCATGTGGCTCTGCTATATGTGTGCAACAGTCATAGAGTGCTTTCCGAGCATGGCGAGGCCCTGGGTTTAACCTCAACACAAAAACAGACCATAGCTTCTCGGGGAGGCTGAGGCTGGAGGAGCCCAAGGTCAGTGAGACCTTCTCTTAAAATAAAATGAAAAAGGTGGGGTTGTAGCTCAGAGGTCCAGGTCAAGCCCCACTGGGTTTATTCCCCAGTACCTCAAAGAAAAAGAAAGAACTATATAACATATATATTGTTTTTATCAGCTGATGCGACCTCAAGCGACTTAGAAGGACACAGTCTCCACAGTTTTGAAACACTATTTAAAGATATCATATGTATGACCCATACATAATATCTAAAAATGAGAACAATTTGAAAACTATTTTAGTAATTCTCTTCACCTCCTGGCCTCTGTTGCTTTGAGGAGGCAGCCTGAGCTATGAAAGGAAGCAATTGGGGTTGGCTCTGATGCTCAGGGTTCCATCCCCAGCAGAGAGGGTCCTCAGGGAGGAAGGAAGGAATCCTCTAGGGCAGGAATGTGCGGTGGAAATAAAATGGGTGCCTTGTGCTTAGTGTAGATGTTCTACTTCGACTGTTAGGAAGTCTTATGCAGAGACCTGACTCTGGGGATCCAGGTCTGGTCAGGTGTTTCCCCCAAAATCAAACAGAAAAGGTCATGATGCAAAGCAGGAAAGAAACTTTGACCAGTGCAGCTACACCAGGAAGACAAGGAAACCCTGCCCTTATGCTGTCTTCAGGTGCTGACAAGGACTTTGAGGTTTTATAGAAGGATAATCATAGGCATGTAAAGAAAGGGAAAAGTGTATGTAGGATTCAGTATTATCTGTAGGATTTAGGCTTCAGGCATCTGTGGGTCTCATGTCTGTGAGCTCACACTCACTTGCCCCATTGACACATGTCCCTGTACTGCACAGACTGACCTCATTTTATCTCTCAGGAGGAAGTCCCCCTCCAGTGTATTCTTTCCATGTCAAGGTTTCAGATGCACCAACATTTTCAAGCAAAGCCACAAGCCCTAGAAAGCAACATACCCCCAGAAGCTGACCCAGGGTCTCAGCTTGGGAAGGCAAGTATCCGAGGATCGGGGTGGGGCGTGTCACCCCGCTCAACCAGGGAGCAGCACCTGTGCTGGTGTCGCAGGCACAGTTTCCCCAGGTCGACCCAGTTCCCCCTTCTTCTCGGGCTGATCCCCATCCTCCTGCTTGGCCCCCCACCTCCATCTGCGCCACACCCCAGCGCTGCGCTCCAGGCCAAGCAGAGAAGGCGCCCAGGCTGGTTTTAGGTGATTCTGGGTCTCAGGACACCACCGCTTCATCCCCAGGGAGCATAGCTAGACCCCTCCCCAGGCCTCAGTGGGGCCTGAGTTGCCGAGCGCCTCTCTGCTCTGGGGATCCCAAGGCTGTGGTTGGCATTGCTGCAGGATCTTGTCCCTGAACCAGGGTCCACAATCCACCCCAACCTCTGCTGGGATCCCCGCCCTGGTCCCGCCCGCCCTGCCGGCTAAATCCAATTAACCTGCAAACTCTGGCCTGGGCGGTGCCCTTGGGGACAGGTTCTCCTTTCTTGCTGCCCAGCGAGTTTGCGGCTTCTGGAGCTTTTTAACTGGGTGGGGCTTGAGTACAGTGGGGGGGGGGTCCATTTTTTATTCCCACTGTTATACCAGATTCCTGGGACCCCATAGACCTCCAGGAGCCGAATCTGATGCAATCACACAGGAGTCTTTACTACAAGCTCCAGCCTGGACTCACAACCGTTTCCAAGACAGCCGTCCCAGGGAGTGAGTCCTGGTTTTTTGTTCAGTGAGATTTTATGGGTTTAGGGGGAGACACTCTACATGTCACAACATCACACACAGAGAATTTCACACCATGGGAAAATCAAACAACAACTCTTAACATTGATTAGCACATTCCCTGGTGGGAACAAGTTGGGTAGGGGGGATTGGTGAGTTCAAGACATGGGGCCAAGAGGAGTTGCAAGAGTGTGCAGCGCCAAACTACATGGTTTCTGAAAGGAAAGTGACCACAACACTCGGAGTGACCAAGAGATCTTTATTGCAGCAGTGCAACAAAGAGAAAAGAAAGAAGGAAAGAGAGAGAGAGAAAAGAGAAGAGATGAACAGGGAGAGAGCAAGAGCAAGAGAGAGACAGAGAGCATGCGTAAGAAAGATAAAGAGCAAGAGAGAGAGAGCAAGAGAGAAAGAGCAAGAGAGAGAGGGAGCAAGAGAGAGGGGGCCTGGCAGGAGGGAGTTTTTATAGCCCAAATCTAATAGGGCCTCTGGGTCTGCAAGCTGCCTTGTTGGCCCAAGGGGGGGTTAAGTGTTCAGCCTTGAGCAGGGTTAAATGTTCAGACTTGAGGCAAACAGGTGATAAAGGACCAGATAGAGGGGGGTTTGAGTGCGTGGGCTATCTTGCAGCCAACATCTGTTCAGCCTGCCCTGCAGACAACACAGTTCAGCCTGCTCTGCACCCAACAGTTTCCTTACATGTTATGGATCACTGAGACTCGTGGGGGAGGGAGGTCACCTGGCATTCCAGTTATTTTCCCTGTCTTTTGCTGATTGGTGGTTGCTAGTGGGTTGCTATGGGTTTCAGGGTCAAGGTGTAGGCCACAAACATGGTTTGGACTTTCCGGAAAGTAGCGTTGCTGAGTCAGAGACACCTGGCACTGGAGATCTCTCCTGTTTTTATAGACAAACAACTCAGCACATAGCTCGCTCCATGCCTAGGGATGCTCTGTGGATTTTCCAAGATCAAGTGCCACCCCTCCCTTGGACACGTCCTGCTCTGAGGTAGAGGCTATTTTTTTTAAATGGAGTCACATCAGTTTCTCCCCACCAAGAGTCTTGGGATAGCATAACCCGCCCCAGAGATTCAGTGAGTGTTCAGCTCCACCAGGCTCCACCTTTGGAATCTGTAGGGTGCTGGACTCCAGGCTCCATGGATGCACTCAGGGCCTGGGGTATCTGCATGCTAAGCCAAAGAAACCGGAGGCCAAATGTCTTCTTACTGGGGACCTGTGTGATGGTGCTCTCGGCATGACCCTGGTTCTTCTGCTGCAACAGATAATCTGTTTTCACTATTCCAAATCAGTTCTGTATTTTTACCAAAGAAAACTAGAGCTTCCTGTATTGTCAGGCTCCCCTAAATCCTTGGGGAGTGAGTATTGATTGAAAATGCATGCAGGAGCCTCACCCCCCTCAAGTCAGAGTTGGAATCACTAGAGGGTGCTGGAGGTGGAGAAAAGGTCTTTGTTTTAATTTGGAAATTTGAATATTCATGTTTCCATAGGCTCTGCACTTACAGATGGGGTTACATCCAGAAATCCCAAATACTGTTCGTTCAGAATGCATTTCACAAATCTCACCTCGGAATATCCTAGATTAACAGCCCAGTGCATTGTATGGGTTGTTTCCAATTCATTTTTATTTAATTTTTTTAAATTTATTTGTGTTTTTTTGGTACTAGAGATTCAACTCTGTGTGCTAAACCACTGAGTAACATGCCCAGCCTTTTTAATATTGTACATAGAGACAAGGTTTTGCTGAGTTGCTCAGAGCCTCACTAAATTGCTGAGACTGGCCTCCAAATTGCAATCTGCCTGTCACAGCCTCCCAAGCAGTTCAGATTATAGGCCTACACCACTGCAGCAGACAAGACTATGTTTATTAAGGAGACCTTGGGTCCTCTGAGCAGAGATGTCATAGAACCTCAGAAAATAAGTATGTTGGGTGCTGCTAGGTAGACTATCAAATGTACTGAGCATGATCCTGGGTTACAAATGCTCTAGGGTCAGAGGGAGCTGCTTCCCTGTGGAGAGGTATTTAAGGGACTTTGCTTAGATAGCAGAAGGTGAGAAATTTCCAAACAGCACATAACAGAGAACATTGTTATCTAATAACAGTTAAATCATAATGCAATAAAACATAAGCTCTACATTAAGACTTCCAGCCTATTTTAATGCACAATGTCAATAATCATGTTGAAGTCAGCTGTAGTGGTGCACACCGATAATTCTAATGACTCAAGAGGCTGAGGAAAGTGGATTGCAACTTGGGAGTCAGGCTCAGCAACTTAGCAAGGCCCTAAACAACTTAGAGTCTGTCTCAAACTAAAATCTAAAAATGGGTATGCA